AGGCCACGTCTCAAAGAGAAACCTTCAAGGAAAAGACGCTCACGGGCTTGGTTGTTTTGACCTCGAGGCTCTGTCTGCATCCTCAGCATCTATCTCGGTACCACTGGCTGCGGCAGTTATATTCCGAACGTTGCACAGCAGCAAAGAGACTCGGCCAAGCTGTGCACCAGAAACCAAGCCCACTCGGGGCTGCATGCCGAGTAGACTAGAAACGGAAAGTGGGGCTCCACAGACAAAACTCTGTCTTCCCCTCCCAGCTCCTGGCCTCCCAAACCAATTAATCCAACCCAACGGCCTTGAACTTCCAAGCCTCTCTCCCACGCTGCCATAGCGCCTCGCCTATTCTCAGTCACCCTGAACATCACCCGTCGATGCACCTCCGTCAGGGGCACAGCGCCCGTTCACGGCCACTGCTGGACAACAGCCGTCAAAATCTACGAAGCTCATCACGCTTCTTAGGACAACGAACCTCATCAACCATTTGCTCAGGGCTGGATGTAAGCCAGCCTCTCCTCACCCTCAGAACAGTCCTCTGAGCTGGGCGCTCCTGGGACCCTCAATGTGCAGACCAGAGGCCCAAGAGGTGGGGGGAAATTTCCTCCTCCCCAAATCAAGATGCCGGTTTCACTTCTATCTTCTCTTGTTGTTAGTATGTCTCTAAATTCCCGCTCATGGCTTTATTCCACCCAGCGCAAACCAGTGCCACTTCCAAGAAAAATACTCTATGCCTTTCAGGGTACTTCTCACCCCAGCAGCCAACAGATGCTCTCGAAGATACAAAATGGTGGGGAAATCGGGCAAGAACGAAATCCCCCCCTTAGATCTTGTTCTATCTTTCCAAACCCAACAGTGCGGCTGGGCCTCATCCTCAGGGCATCGACTCCCTCGCCACATGAAAGAGGCACCATGCCAGGCATCACTCTCACCTCTGAACTACTCCGTGTCATGTCCCCACCCATGACACGCAGACCTTTTGCTCACTTATTGATTCAGTTGTCAGAGAATTTTGGAGAACCTGCCACCTGCCAGGTGTTAAGGTCCCTGCCCACAATGGACTTCAATTCTGGAGGGGAAAATAAACAAGCAAAGATAAAAACTGCAATACAATGTCACCACGGCATGCCTCTAGAATACAGATTCCAAGGGACCCCTGGGGGGCTCAGTCGGTTCACCGTCCGACTTCGGCTCAGGTCATGATCTGACAGTTCATGAGTTTAAGGCCTGCACAGGGCTCTGCGCTGACAGCTCGGAGCCTGGAGCCTGCTTCTGATTCTCTCTCTCTCTCTCTCTCTCTCTCTCTCTCTCTCTATGTGCCCGTCCCCTGCTTGTGCTCGGTCTCTTGAAAATAAACATTAAAAAAAAAAAAAAATACAGATTCCAAAGGAACATTTTGTTTATTCCGCACTCTCAGGCTTCCTGAACCACAGCAGCACCTGACACACAGCAGACGGTCAATGCGTATTTACTGAGGGAATAAAGAAACGAGTGAATGTATGAGAGCATGCCTAGTGCAGGTAACCCACTAACAGCTATAGCATTTGCCCAAAGATACTTGTAGTTATTCTTGATTTAGCATGTCATAGTGCTGAGCATGGTGTAAGGCACACAGGGGTCCAGGCTCGCAGAGCCCAGGGAATGATTCCCAAAGGACGGAGGGAAAGGAAGGCCCTGGAAGGGGAAAATTCAAAGCAGAAAGAACCATGCAAAGACTAGACAAGCAGATGCAGGAGATGAAGCTCTTCCTGGTTAAATGTGATCAGTGGATTTTATAAACTCTTCACAGTCGCTGACACTCTCTGTACTCAGATGCAAGCAGTTTGAGGGAAAATACTAGTAACTAACTCCACAGAGGACATTTAAGCTTGGCAGCTCCTATGGGAAAGAGACTCATCCCATCCCTAGCTCTTCTGTATTCAGAACTCCAGAAGCCGTAACGTTACGGAAGGGGAGTGCGTAAAGAGCGTGAGGAGGAATGACCCTCAAACGTGTTGCTGGTCTTCCCTCAAACACAGGAAAGTCATCTCCTCCCAGACACGCAAGGACGAGAACCCAGCGGCTCACGAAAGCAACTCCATAAACTGATCTACCCATTCCAAACATTCAATACTACGTCTTCTACAGATTCCAGAAATTAAGGAGCCATGTTAGGATCCTGAGCCTCACTGCTTTCTAGAGAAGACGAAGTAAATGCTGCCTCTTTGATTTATCGGGGTGGACCCTACAGTTCTCAGTTTCAATCTTGTCCGTAAGCGTGGACTGAGCACCAACTGTCTACAAGGCATTGCGCTACAGACAACGGCAATCGGCACATTCTAAGGGGGGCAGACAGACAAGAAAACAAAGATGGAAGCCATGAGAATTTCAGAGCGAGGCTTTTGTAACTAACATGAACAGGGGCGAGGCAGAGAATGGGGGAGGATGGCCTCTCCAAGGCCTCTGAGCCAAGAGCTGAATGATGAGGAAGAGGCGTACAGACAGGGCAAGGAGGAAAGCAGCAAGCACAAAGCCCCCAGATGGGAATGAGCCTGGTGTGTTTGGGGCAAGGAGGGCCACGGTGGCTGGAGCAGAGTGAAGGAAGAACAGGTGCAACAGAACAAGCATGTCAACACAGAGAGGAATCAAGTCGGTAAGGGCTGACAGGCCCCTGGAAAGATCTGGAATCCTAAGTGCAATGAGATGCCATTGGAAACTCTTCAACAGCCAAGCCTCGCGAACTGACTTTGGCTTTAAAGAGTTCACTCTCAATGTCACCAAAGTGGGGTGCATCTGGGTGGCCCAGTCGCTCAAGCGTCCCACTCTTGATCTCAGCTCAGGTCACAATCTCACCATTCATGACACGCAGCCCCGCGTCGGGCTCTGTGCTGAAAGCACGGAGCCCGCTTGGGATTCTCTCTCCCCCTCTGCTCCTTCCCCACGTGTGCTCTCTGTCTCTCTCCAAATAAACTTAAAAATCAATCAAAATAAATGTCACCAAAAGGGGATACCTATCAGTGAGACACAGTGGTGGACCGGCCTTCACTTTCCCTGGAGCGCAACACAACAGATGCCGTCTGACAGGGACAGTGTTCATCCACACGCCGGCAGCCACCAAAGTCCCAACAGACAGGTGGAAAGCTCCTCTCGGCGACCGGCTGCTTGGACTTCCGCAAATGCACTTTCTCAAAGAAGTAAGATCACTCCCTGGTTCTGATACCCAACTCCCCCTGTTCCTCTGTCATTCCCTCTTTGGAGGAGGGTAAAAAAAAAAAAAAAGGTTTTATGCCTAAGGTTCGTAAATCTTACCACTCCGAAACAAGCCCTGCAAAGAGACAGAAGAGCTGGTTGGCCTCCAGGGCGCCAGGGAGGGCGCCTGAACACCTTGCTGGCATTCCCATTGGAGCCCTGAGCTGAAACCCCAACGTCAAGCGAGTGGAGCAATCCAAGTCCATGGTCAGGAGCCTCCGGATCACTTAGTTGGTCTGCCGGGATGCCTGATGGCAGAGCATAGAGGGGTGCAGACATCAAGATATCAAAGACGGGTCAGCTTGACTATCATCTGCTCAACGACCGACAGAGGTAAACACCGTCTCGGTGTCCAACACATCCAAAGGCAGCCCACGTGAGGCTATATCTGCGGCGAGACCGTGCCAGAAATCTGGGCTAATCTGACTCTGCTATTCATAAATTCCCCCTCATGTGAAAGCACATGTGTTTGGGAAAGGGAAATGAATCCAAGGCAATTTTAGACGTTGTTACTTGGAAACCATCTGGAGTCCCTGGAAGTAGAAGAAGCCGGCGCATCGCCTGCCCTCAGATGCCCACCGTAATTAGGGCAGTATGCCCACCTGGGAGTTTGGTGGCCCCCTAATTCCCCAGGGATTTCCCCACCCCCACCCTAGCGGATGCCAGTTCAGGCCCCACTTCCCACCCAAGAAAGGTATTTGGTTCCCCGGTAAACCCAGTGGAGAGCCCTCGATGTGTTGAGCTTGCACTTGAACTGCACCCAAGGCTGGGTCCTCGGCTTTCCGCTTCACACCTGAATTCCAGGGCCACAGCCGCCAGGAGGAATTCCATGACCCCCCCCCCAACCCCCCACTTAACAGCCCCGTGTTCTCAGCCCGTCTAGCTTTGGAAGAGACCCACCAGAACCCTTATGTAACGGTTAATAGATGTTGGCACCCTGCAGCGCGGCTCCTGGAGACAGTAGCCCAGATGTGGCCCATTTCGCCGCGATGACAGCAAGCTGGGTCCTGCAGCTTTCCACGGCCTGGCTCTTGCAGACTGTAGGGCCTCTGGGCTCCCCTCCCCTCCCCTCCCCTCCGCTACCTGGCTGCGATCCTCTGCTTATCTCATCTTCCCGAGGAGTTGGACCTCCCTTTCTGCAGCCTCCCTCCCTCTACTGAAAGCGCTCTTAGGACCGAGCCCCACAGCAGCGCCATTCCACCGGCACCTTCCCTGCCCCCTCTCCCCTCACCCCTCCGGATCTCCGTCTCCAACACCTACGGCCGTAAGACACCCGGCCAAGAAAGAAGAGATCCAGAATCCCGTACAGTCATAGTCACAGAACGCAAACACACAGTCCCTGCCAAGCCGACCAGGCCCCACACTTGCCCCGGGACCCCCGAGCAGCCCGAACTCGGCGCAGGGGGAGGGAGGCTTCGGAGACGCCGCCGCGGCTCGGCCGCCCCCAAGCACAGGCAGAGCGAACACCTGTTTCCAGGGAGCCGGCGGCCGGGGGCGAAGAGGGGGCGTCCCGGGGCAAGGCGGCGAGCACGGGGCGAAGGGGCAGCCGGGGACGCAGGTGGAGGATGCGTCACGCTCTGCGCTCGGCAAGCGGGGCCGGGGCGCGGCGGCCGGAGCCGCAGAAGGGCTCGGGGGCTGCGAAGTTCCGAGGGGAGGGGTCGCGCGCGCCGGCGGTGCGGGTGCAGGGGGGCGGCGCGGCGGGCAGCGGAGGGAGGGGAGGGAGCGAGGTCGCGCGCCCCGGCGGCTGCAGCCTCGCGGGCGCGCACCGGGGGACCTACCTGCCCACCGTCTGGTTGGCCAGCTGGCGCATGCGGTTGAACTGCTTCTTCATCGTGGCCCCGCTGCCGCGCTGGCCCGGGGGGGGGGGGGGGGGGGGGGGGGGGAGCTGGGCAAGGACGGAGCAGCCCGGAGCCCGCCGCGGGTTACATGGCTCCCGCGCGGAGCCTCCCGGGCGACGGCGGCGGCACTGCGGAGCCTCCGGGCGCCGTCTGGCCCGCGCGCGGCTGCCTCCCCAGGGCGCCGCCGCCTACTCCTCCGCCCGCCGCGGCGCCCGCTGCCGCATCCCCCTCACGCGCGCCGCCGCGCCTGCATGCTGACGCCCGCGGCCGCCCTCGGCGCCGGCCCGGTCCGCCCGGCCGCCTGCCCCGCAGCCCCTCTCCGGCGCGGGGACCCGGGAGGCTCCGCAGGCTCCTGGCCGGGGGGTCCCCGCTGCGCCTGTGCGGCGGGCGCCGTGCATTCTGGGACTTGTAGTCCCGCGCCCCGCTGCCCACCTTTCCGCGTGCAAAGTTTTGCAAGCACGGAGGCGCGCGGAGGTGGAGGCCGGTCGCGTCGCCCCGGGGCCGGGGGAGGTGGGGGGAAGGGGGGGAAGGGGGGTCGCGGGTAGGGGTGGGGGGTGGAGGAGTTGCACTGTAGCACTCCAGGAAGGGAAAGGTTTCACTGCTTTAAAAATAGAGCGGAACCAGGACTCCAACAGCAAATAAGGAAAGTGAGCATCTGCCTTTCATTGTATTTTAAGTGAATGTGAGGCACTGCTGTTTTGAATTCACGGGAAGAAGATTGAGGCCGGCGGGTACGCGGCTCATAAAATCGCGCAAGGCCACCTGGTCGTGGTTGAGGTGCACAGTTAAGCTCGGGGCCTGGGGCTGGGTCGGGGCATAGCATGCATCATAGAGGTTTCCTCCTTGATTTTCACCAAACCCACTAAGTAACCAGAAGCCAGAATAGAAGAAGGGCTTACTAATAGTAGCGTCTTGACCGGGACAACTTTCTCGCATGGCTTTGATCCCAGTCTCCCAGCTGTTCCCATTTCCCTTTCACCTCTGGGGACCGAGGGGTCACACCTGTGGCCTGGCCCGGGGGCGTTCTAGGCAACAGTTCTCCATTAGGGAGCAGTTGACCTCTTCAAAAGGGATCGTGACTTTCTGCAGGCTCCGTGCTTCCGAAGAGATAGGAGATTCCAAGTACATTTTTTCATCACCTGTCAAGGAAGAACAGTATTGTTAGCTGGTAGGGGCTTTGGATCAGATACAAGTTCGAATATTGGAATTCCAAAACCCAATTATATAACCTTTGGAAAAAATTACATAACCTCTCTAAGCCTCCTTTTTTTTTTTAATCTCTAATACACATTTAATATTGCCCAGGAGATAAGCAAAGGTACCTATTTGCTAAATTAGCAGTAATTCAATAACATATGAATTTTTATGTCATACATTCGTTTACTACAAATATGACGATACTTCGCGTGATAGAGCAAAATGCTGTCCCTAAATAGAATGACGAATCTGATCAATGAAAGCGCTTCTTTGAAATGGTATATTTTGCATATGTTGATTATAGTTGCAAGATGTCCTAAATATGGTTCTAAGTATCTCGCTGGGCAGCTGAACAAAAAGATGGTTTGAGGCAAGTCTTGGCTGAATGAACATGAAATCTTTAATTAATTGTGAATTTAGCCTCTGCTTATTAGGTCAGGCAACTCCAGCCAATTAATACGTGAAGACATGATTTGCTCTGAACTGACTGTGCTCTGCTTATAAAATCCATATAATTTTTATATGAATGACAATTATTTCCACTTTGAGGTATTTTTAAAAGCCAAGGCAAAGCCTGGTTTTTATACGTATAAATAGTAGAGAGGTATTAAAGTCACTATGACTTTTTTTTGTTTATTTCTTTATTTTGAGAGAGACAGAGACGGCGCAAGTGGGGGAGGGGCAGAGAGAGAGAATCCCAAGCAGCCTCCCTGCACAGAGCCCCACGCGGGGCTCAAACCCGTAATGAGATCATGACCTGAACCAAAACCGAGAATCGGGCACTTAGCCCCCTAACCCACCCAGGGGTCCCCATTCTATGACTTTTAGCAACACTGTCTCTGCTAACATCTAGAACCACACTGACAGACGCAGACGCCATCAACTGCATGTGGGTATTGAAATTTAAATGAATTAAAATTAAGTGAATTAAAAATTTAGCTCCTCAGGGGCACCTGGGGGGCTCAGTTGGTTAAGCGTCTGATGTCGGCTCAGGTCATGATCTCGTGGTTCGCGAGTTCGAACCCCGTACCGGGTTCTGTGCTGTCAACAAGAAGCCCACTTAGGATCCTCTGTCTTCCCCCTCTCTCTGCCCTCCCCCGCTTTCTCCCTCTCTCTCTCCCTCTCTCTCTCTCAAAACTAAATATTAAAAATTTAGCTCCTCAGTCATCCTAGCCACACTGTTAAGTGCCTAATAGCCACATGGGCTGTCCTGGATGGCGCAGATAAAGAACATTCCTATCATCTCAGAAAGGACATCCCTAGTATTAGGGAGCTCTGGTAGACAATTCCAATATCATGCCAGTCTCTGTCTTCAATCTGGAGATATTTCCCTTCGAAAAGGGAACTTTCTACTTCTCCACAGACATAGCCTACCCCACCAGCTCGTATCTTCTTTATTAATTGATGGCTTCCTTACACATTTCCTGTTCTCCTGTGCGCTTTTTCTCCATTTGGGAAGCAGCTCGTGATTTTCTGCTTCCCACCCAGGGAAGGGATGACAGTGCAGAAAACAAAAAAAAAAAAATGAGAGAAAGGAGGTATCAGGTCTACTCATCTATCTTTCAAAGCCCGCTCCAGAATCACATGTGAGAACAGACTTTTTAAAGAAAAGCATTTTGAGTTTCAAGAATACAGGCTTTGGAACTTTAATAGTCTGTGCCAAAAATGGTAGAGTTTGAAGAACACACTATTCTGCCTCTACTAGATAAAGTACCCGCTGGCACTGAGGTGTTGAAGATGATGATGGAAATGTAGCAGGGGAGAGAGGGAGGGGGAAAGTAGACGAAGCTTGTACAGATTTGATAATTGCTCACATTTTCATTGCCTATACTTATGAAGAGGGCTTATACTTGACCTTCCCAGTGAGATCAAGACTGAAAATAAATAAACATATTTTTAAAAAAGGGGGGGGGGGCAACTGGCTCAGTCAGTTAAGTATCAGACTTCGGCTCAGGTCATGATCTCACAGTTCATGAGTTCGAGCCCCGCATCAGGCTCTGTGCTGACAGCTCAGAGCCTGGAACCTGCTTCGGATTCTGTGTCTCCCTCTCTCTCTGTCCCTCCCCTCCTCTCTCTCTCTCAAAAATAAATAAACATTAAAAAATATATATCAATTGTGAAATTCTCTTGGGACGTAAAATATGCAGCATGATTCATGCCACTTCTGAGCTGATTTGTAAGTCATTTTATAATCCTCCCTTCTTCTCCTTTTTTCACTCTGCTGGAAGACTAGCAATGACCCAGTTAAGGGCTGCTGTGGATCAGAGTCATAGCCATCCGGCTGGAGTGGAAAATAATACTTTTGTTATAAGTTACAGGGTCTGGGGATCATTTGTTACTGCAGCACAATCAAGCCTATGCTGACTGCTACAGATGGCATCTCTAAGGAAGATTACTTGCTCCTGGCTCCTTCCCGTGATCAAAAGAACTTCAGCTGGGTGTGGGCAGGTTGGAGGCAGCTATATCGTGGCGTGAGAGTGCACCTCTGTGACCACTTCTTCCATGGAGGCTAGCAGTGGCCAAGTTCACGGAGACCCTGTGTCTCCTAAAGCACAGAAGCAGTAAAGATGTCTACGTGGAGTGCTGAGGTCCCTAAACCACAGTCCTGTGGTGGTTCCGGAGTTCCCTGCACCATGCCACATGCAACGGTTTGCTGAACGTGTGCCACAGGGGTACACAAAAGTACATGAAGGTGCTGGGTGTTTTTGCTGTTGAAACTGAAGACGACAAGAAGACAGCAATGGCCAAGATGTGAAATAAAGAAGCCCCGAATTATCTGAAATTAAATTCAAAAAAATGGACTAAGAAAACTAAGAATAGACTTAAAATTAAGTGCATTTGCGGAGAGGGAGGGAAGAGGGGATGGGGAGGAGGAGGGAGGAGAAAAGAAAAGAAGGAGGAGAAAGAAGAAATGAGATTCTATTTCTTAGATGCTCAACTTTGATCTATGGAAGGATTCCACTTCCTGCTCCATATTGACTTTAAGTTCAGTCACATGACTTGCTTTGTCCAACTACATATGGGCTTCTTACATGCTTCAACAGTGCTGTAGTACTATTTAACTGAGATATGTTTTCTTTGAAATCTGACCTGCCACTCAGGAGGCTCTGAATGAGAGGGATTTTAGATCCACATTCTGAATCCTGTCCATGAATCTCTGTCCAATATGGGCGTCAGCAGAGATACGGGGTTATTTAAACATAATTTTAATTTTTTTAAATATTTTTATTTATTTCTCGGAGAGAGAGAGAGAGAGCATGAGTAGGGGAGGGTCAGAGAGAGAGGGAGACACAGACTCTGAAACAGGCTCCAGGCTCTAAGCTGGCAGTCAGCACAGAGCCCGACGCGGGGCTCGAACCCACGAACCGCGAGATCATGACCTAAGTGAAAGTCGGACGCTTAACCAACTAAGCCACCCAGGCGCCCCAATTTTAATTTTTTTTAACTTTTATTCATTTTTGAGAGATGTAGAGAGATAGAGCATGAGTGGGGAAGGGGCAGAGAGAGAGAGAGGGAGACACAGAATCTGAAGCAGGCTCCAAGCTCTGAGCTGTCAGTACGGACCCGGACGCGGGGCTCAAACCCATGGACCGTGAGATCATGACCTGAGCTGAAGTCAGACGCTTAACCAACTGAGCCACCCAGGGTCCCCTAAGCATAATTTTAAATAAAGTCAAATAAAACTAGAAATTCAGTTTTATTACACTAGCCACAATTTTTAAAGATTATTTGTTTATTTTGAGAGAGATAGAAAGAGAAAAAGCACAAGTGGGGGAAGGGCAGAGAGAGGGAGAGAATCCCAAGCAGGCTCCACACTGTCAGCACACAGCCCGACACGGGGCTCAAACTCATGAACTGTGAGATCATGACCTGAGCCAAAGTCTGATTCTTAACAGACTGAGCCACCCAGGTGCCCCTCAACCGTATTTCTAATTCGCAAAGACTC